TGTTTTGCGATATAAACTTTGAAAACGCTACTTATATAAAAGTCAGCTACACTCGATTTTCAAAAAAAAAAAAATAATAGTAATAAAAGTTCGCGGACCATATAAGTACCAAAATAACGTTTGTGGTGTCCATATTTAGTTGGGATTCTCCTCCTTATCCAAAAATCCAAAGACATGTCTCTTAGCTCAAAAATTTTTGCATAATCACATAAAAATATTTTGCGGTAAATTTTGACCCTCTTTTCAGTAAAAAATTAAACTTTTTTAATCCCCCGCAATGACTCCACCAGACCCTAGGTCAGAAATTAACTCTTGCTGTAGTTTATTTAGGTCTTTGTGGTTCCCAATGTTTCCCCTTCGCCACTTGGTGCAATAATCTCTGTTAACTTTTATCCCACTCTCTTCTTATGTGTGTGTGTGTGTGCCCGATGCCTTCCAACAAAGACTATCTTAGTCTATGTTTCTGCAACTTATTCCGGACTCAAGTCTATTTGAAATGCATAAATTTCATCATTGGGTGTAGAACTTTTCACCAAAGGAGTTTTCTTTCGCATCATATTGCTCTAAAGTTAGGCGGCGGCATCGCTTTAAGTGAAGCATATTTCGATGCGGGTTTATTTGGGAATTCCACAGCTTTGTAAAGTTACATTTGCATTTTAACAGTTTTTTTTGCATATGCGTCAAAGCTATGTGAAAGTGTGTGTATGTGTGTGTGTTTTTTTTTTTTTTTTTTTTTTTTTTTTTTGCATCGTGGTGTTAATTTGAATATAAATTCCATTGCAAGGATCAGAGACAAAAGAAAAAAAACCCAAATAATGTATTTAACTATATATAAAAGTTCTTAATCGCTTTGAGGTTATTGAAGTGTATGTTTATAAATGGAATGCATAATGCATACACACACACACATATATATACATTGTATAAACAAGAAGATAGTGTTAAAAAGTTTTAAGGAGCATACAAAGTGCTTCGGATGAACATTAAAAAATATATGATACATGGACACCACTATGTGATAAATAGAACCAATGAGAAAGGCGTAAAATGTCCGTCTGGCTGGGGCGCACGATAACTCTCGAAGGGAGTATACGATTTGGTCCAAACTTGGCATATCATAATATTATTATCAAATTTAGATCGAGTTCGGAGATGGACAATATCGGATCACTCCTTCTGGTACCTCTCCCCACAAAGGGTCGAAATTTTCAAAAAACTGTTTTATTACACTGAAAGAGAAAGGATAATCCTATTCTGCTCTGACTTTGAAAATTCTAATATTTGCATCAGTGCTACCTCAGGTGCGAAAATTGAAAATATCGGTCCACTCCTTCAAGTACCTACCCCACAAACGGTCAAAATTCGGAATAATTATAACCCTTATAAAAAGTGATGTAATCGGCCGATTGTCTTCAAATTACACACATCACAATATTTTTATCAATCCAAAGTCTGGCGTGGAGATGGAATATATCAGTCCACTCTTTCTGGCAAAGACATATAATATAATAAGATGGGACATTATATTGTTACTTTTCTTCAATAGATGGCGCTGGTAGGGTAAAAATATGTGACAGCATTATGTTATTCTTTAATAGAGCTGACACATTTTAAGGGTTGTTGTTGATTTTTACCGATTCAATGTACAAGGCAATGCTCTGGAATACATTTTTGAGAGCATGTCTATCATACCTAACATTTTTTTCCACATATTTCCGACATTTTTCGGCGATATCGGAATAACATATTTTTCTAAAATTTCCAATGTATTTCTGTTATGTCGCCTGCCATCTACTACCTAATAAAAAAATTTAAGACCATGTGCATTTTGTCCAGTCTTTATTGTTTTATGTCTTTGTTTCTGGTACCTCGCCCACTAAGGGTCAAAATTTTGAATATCCATAAAACTCATAAAACGCGAAATTAACCTCCGATTCCATTCAGACTTGGCACATCTTAATATATTCATCAACACAAGATCTGTTATAATGATGGTGAAGATCGAACAATTCCTCTTGATACCTCCACACAAAGGGTTACAAGTTTGAATAACCAAACCTATCATAAAATCCGAAATAAGCATCCGCTTCTCTTCAATTTACACGCATCATAATATTTTTATTAACCTAAGGTGCGGTGTGAAGATGGAATATATCGGTCCTCTTCTTCTAGTACCTCCCCCATAAAGGGTTGAATATTCATAAAACGCGAAATTAACATCCGATTTCCTTCAGACTTGATACAACTCAATATTTCTATCAACACAAGATCTGTGTTGATAGTCGAGATCGGACCATTCCTTCTGATACCTCCCCCACATAGGGTTCCAGATTTTGAAAAGCAAAACGCTCAAAGAAAGGGAAATAATCATCCAACTCTCTTCAAATTTCACACATCCAAGCATTTTTTTGCTAACGCAGAATCTGATGTGAAGATGATATATATCTGTGAACCCCTTCTGATTCCTCACCCATTAAGAGTCACAATTTTCAATATTTTATCTACCATGACTTGAGGAACAAGTCGGCGATTCTTTACAAATTGCTATATCTAAATATTTCTCTCAACCAGAAAGCTGAGATGAATATGGAATTTATGATTTCGCATAAAATTGGGTATAAATGTTGTAACTTTGTTAATAATTTTGCCCATACCAATATTTTATCTGTATTAGATAAAGTATGAGAATGGAGTACTTCGGCAATTCTACTGACAAAAATCCGAGGTAATATTTTTGTAAAACAAATTAATCCTCAGTCGAGTCATCATTAGGGTATTTTAGGTAATTTTCTCTAAAATCTTCAAAAGCCCCATTAATTAACTGGGATTAAAAAAAAATCTACAAAATTATTCGCCATAAAATACTGCTTAGGTCTCAAAATACGTTAAAACCCCAAAAGTTGTCTAAAATCCAGAAATCGGTTGACATGAAAAACACCATTTAGGTACCCGCTAGCAACTTGAACTTGTTCGGCACCGGAAACTCATCGATTCTCAGAGTAACAGTAACTAGTTCCACTTAAGACCCCTCACAGTCGTAGACTATAACAAGTAAAAAATAACCTCCACCATTTGGTACAAATTTAACAATTTTCAACAAAAATAAAATCCCTTAAAAACTGTTAAAATCTTGAAAATACCTAATATAGCCGTATATTAGAGTCTATACGACGATGTGGACCTGCACAGACAATTTTCTGTGATAGGCTGTAGCATCCATTATGAACTTCAAATGCAAAATGTGAAACAATTCCGGTAAATAATGCCGCTAAAATCTTCAAAATACCGAAAATTGGGAGGTACCGTTATATGGGGGCCATACGAAGACGTGGACCTACATGGCTCATTTTTTGTCTTAGTATGTAGTATTCATTACGAACTTCAAATACTAAAACTGAAACAATTCCGGTAAATAATGTCGCTAAAATGATCAAAATACCGAATATCGGGGGGTACCGTTTCATGGGGGATATACGAAGCCGTGGACCTACATGGCCCATTTTCTGTTTTATGCTGTAGTATCTATTAAAAACGTCAAATACCAAATTTGAAACAATTCCGGTAAATAATGTCGCTGAAATCAACAAAATACCGAATATCGGGAGGTACCGTTATATGGGGGCTATACGAAGACGAGGACCTACATAGCCCATTTTCTTTCTTAAACCAAAGCATCTATTATGAACTTTAAATATTAATTTTGAAACAATTCCAGTAAAAAATGTCGCTAGAATCATCAAAATACCGCATATCGGGAGGTACCGTTATATGGGGGCTATACGAAGACGTGGACCTACATGGTCCATTTTCAATACCAAAAGTCCTGCAGACATAGTACACATTTGAGTAAAATTTTATAAACCTACTTAATTTCGTTCGGAAGCTAGAGTGATTTCCACAGACGGACAGACGGACAGACGGACGGACATTGATAAATCGACATAGAATTTTATGCTGATCAAGAATATATATACTTTGTGGGGTCTAAAATGTATATTTCGAGGTGTTGCAAACGGAATGACAAACTTAATATACCCTCCATACTATGGTGGAGGGTACAAAAAGGGGGTGTCATAGGAGGTAACCAATTGGCTCCCTTTTGCATTATTATTCAGATTCTTATAGAATCACCCTTTATTTTTTAGAAAATAACCTAATAATAATAAAGTAATAACGGTAGTATGTTCTCATTACCACTACCACCTTAAGCAGCCCTCAGTTCAGAACTATTAGATCTATTGAAAAAATCAATAAAAATATAATCTCATATATTCGAACCAATTTGTCTGATATCCATTCGTAGCGACGTCACCAGTGGGCCAAAAAAGTGGATCTATGATTCTGCTTAATAAATATTTTAATGTTCCTTTTTTAACCGACAATGTCCACTACAGAAATATATTTTTTTTAATTCAGAAGTTAGCTGGAAATCTATTTCAGTTGTAAAATTAATTTAAAAAATCAAAATCTTTCCACGTTTTGATATTCTTAATAATAATACAAAAATAATTTAAACAAATTTCCATTATAAAACAAACACAGACTCATTAATTTTCAGGTTACCATTAAAATAGTAAGTGTGATTGACATTGGTGCATGTTTAGAAAATTTCCAAAAATTTAGGAAAAAACGCAACAAAAATTCCTAGAAAATATAAGTTCTAAATTAAGTAGTATAATGTATTTTTAAAAAGAAAATATTTGTCTATAATTGTCTATTTTTTTCTCTTTTATATTTCCAAAATAAAAATGTAAAAAAAAACACTCATGCATGCCTTGCCTTGTGGATAATGATGATGGATGGTGATGATGATGATGATGATTTGGATGCAAAATAAACAACTATTGCCTGTTTTTGGGGATTTGGATGCAATTTGCATTGAATGCATTTATAATGGAATGTACCTACAAAAACAACCGATTATAAAATTAAAAATATAAAAAAAAAAAACAAAACCAACGTTATCACCTACCTGCCCATGTATTTTCTCACACACACAGGGATTTGGTTTTGTCACCTTTGCAAATAGTGCCGATGCGGAAAGAGCACGCGAACGTCTTCATGGTACAGTGGTTGAGGGTCGAAAAATTGAGGTGGGTGCATGTTTAATTACTTTATTGTTCAATTATACAAATATATTTGTATTTAAGAAATATATATACTTATTGCTTGTTTGCTCTGGGGAAAGACATAACAAAAAACCAAAAAAAAAAAGAAAAAAATTAACTGAAAGAGGCAAATATATTTTCAAAAGTATATGTTGCCTAGTATTGCAACAAAATGTTTATTTAAAAAAAAAATATATTTTCATGTTATGATCCTCTTGTTTGTAAACGAGCGATATGTACCGAGCAAAAATACTTATAACAAATCGGGGGTAGCAACACTTCTTAGATTAACAAGGACATATTACAAGAAATAAATAGTTATATTTTGGACCTATAAAAGGCGATAAATAAGTACTATTTTTGAGACTTCTTATTTATTCGGCTTTTAATTGCACAAAAAATTACGACTTATTTCGTGTGAAATTCATGTTTAAATAATAGGTTGGTAACCTGATTTGTAATGAGCAGTTTTACTTGGTCTATTTTCATTTTTATAATTAATTAAAATTATTTTATTTGATTTTGTTTAAATTATGAAAATTTCTCAATGACATGTTGCATGTTGGGACAATGTTGAACGGAGAAAAATGGATTGAAAGAACATCTTGCAACATTTTTATGGTGAACGTAAAATATTTTTTTATTTATTTATTTTTACTTGGGCAAAATAGCCAAAAAAGCTGAAAAGATGCTTGATGCATCGTTTGTTCTTAATTTTACAACAAAGTACAAAAAATTGTTTAAAAAGACATTCTTAACTTGTATTATCTCACACCCACATGCAACGATTTGTTGGAGGATCTGCATGTGACGTCAACCTACATGTTGTGTTGCATGTAAATACAAGAGACTATGCTTCAATGTTAATAGGAAACAACTTAAAAAATATAATTCTAGCAAAGGTTATGTCTACTACCTTAATGCCGGGGACAAATTTCGGCATGTAAAGGGTGTTTTTTTAAGTCCGATAGAACTTGAAATTATAGAATGTTTTTTTTAATCGAAAGATCAATACGTGACATTAACATTTGAAAATGATTTCGGGCATATGGACACCGCGGCTGTTCTTGACGAAGTGCATTGTGGACGTCCAATTTTTGGCCACTTTTTCGAGCACTACTGGCCGTATGTCACTAATAACACGAACAATGCTGGCCTTCAAGGCGTCAATTGTTGCTGGTTTATCAGCATAAACCAGTGACTTCACGTAGCCCCACAGGAAATACAGGTGGGGAAAGGACAGGTCCACTTCTCGAAATCAACTTATCGCCAAATTTTGATTTCAATAAGTCGATGGTTACGTTCGCCGTATGGCACGTAGTGCCATCCTGTTGAAACCACATCTCCTCCGGATCAAAGTAATCCATATTTTTAAAACAACCAGTAAAGAAAGTTTTAAAGTCGGGCGGGGCCGACTTTAGGATACCCTACACCACTTTGCTAATTTAGTAGAGCTCCACATAACAATTGAAAGTTTTTATGGGAGACTTCAATTATACACGCTACGATTAAAATTATAATTTAAAGTTCAAAAGACTCAATATGCCGAAGCATTTGTATCTTTTAAATTCGGACTTTTATTGCCCATTTGGTGCACAATTAATTTGAAATCGGATAAAGATATATATGGGAGCTATATCCAAATCTGAACCGATCTCGATAAAATTTGGCAAAGATGTTTCTGAGCGGTATTTGATATATTTCCGTGAATATCGTTGTTACAGAGTGCATATTATGGCTGTGGGTAACAAATATAACAAATCGGATGAACATTATATATGGGAGCTATAGCTATATTTGAACCGATCTTCACCAAATTTGACATACTAGCTTCTAGACTCAATTCGGTCGTAAGTGCCAAATTTCATCCCATTTGGACAAATATTAGACGTTTGGTGCACAAAGAAGGGTAAATCGGACGAAGTTATATATGGAAGCTATATCCAAATCTGAACCGATCTCGATAAAATTTAGCAAATGTATTTCTGAGCTGTATTTGATATATTTCCCGAAATATTGTTGTTATAGAGTGCATATTACGGCTGCGGAGGACAAAAATAACAAATCAGATGAACAATATATATGGGAGCTATAGCTATATCTGAACCGATTTCGATCAAATTTGACATACTTATTTTCAGGCCTAATTTGGTTGTATGTGCAAAATTACATACTATTTGGGCAAATATTAGACGTTTGGTGCACAAAAAGGGCAAATCGGACGAAGATATATATGGGAGCTATATCTAAATTTTGACCAATTATCTCCAATTTCAATAGAGTTCGTCCTTGGGCTAAACAAATGATATGTGCAAAATTTCATCTGGATAGGGCAATAAATGCGAACTGTACTTTGTTTACAAAAATACATGGACAGACGGACATGCATAAATCAACTCAGAAAGTGATTCTATGCAGATCATCAAAAGGAACTATGGGTCTATCTCGTTTCCTTTTGCCTGTTACAAACAAATGCACAAAGACATAATACCCTGACCACCTTGTGGTGTAGGGTATAAAAATCATTGATCATGATGCGGTAACGATCTCCATTGACCGTAACGCGAGCTCCGGCCTAATTTTTGAAGAAATAAGGTGCGTAATTTTGTAATTTTGCTTATTAACAAACCCGTTAAGCGCCTCATCGCTGAACACAATTTTGCGATAAAACAACGGATCATTTGCCAACTGCTCTAGAACATGATTTTCAAAGTAAATTCGGATAATTTCGTAACGTTGTTCAAGCGTGAGTCTATTCATGATGATTTGTCCGAGTATACTGAAACAAAAAAAAAAAAATTAAACAAAATTTAATTTGTTCTGTTACTTTTTACAATTTAAAGTTCTATCTAGCTTAAAAAAAAACACCCTTTAGTTATTATTATTATTATACTATGCGACAAAATCAATTTCTTCCAAAGTTACAGTAGTAGTAGAAGTCGAAAATATAATGAAAATAGGGCTAAAAATATTAAACACATGTATCCGCATTTTAAAAGTTTATATCGACAAGTAACCTAAATAGAGAGGAGAAGTTCCGCCCATTTTTACATTTTTTAAAATATACGCATTTTTTAGAATTTTATTACATTATCAGAGTAGACCTTATATTCCAGATATTATATGTCAACGTGCGTGAGAATTGTGCGATTATGTTCTAATGAGATCTATGATTTTGCTGAGGACTTACAACATACCACGACGAATGCTACTCCTTTGAATTGGAAAGAACCTGTCATATACATAGATATAATATGGTTAATTGTGAGACTAAAAATGAAATTTTGTGTAGAATACTTCTACCTTTGACACTAATTCTAAGTTTTGTACGACTTCCATGCAGCAACTTGTAAAAGAACAACAACAATTTTATCAAAAAAAAAAAAAATGTTTCCATGTTTTTTCGGCAAAATTGATGCACTTATGAGTATTCATATAATGTACACCTATCGTTGCCGACTTATAGTGAAATTTTGCGTAGATTAGTTTAGTCTTTGATGTACAGGGTGAGATAAAAAAACTGCAACAAAATCAAACACCATAATTTTTACATTTTTTTTAAATTTCATTAAATGAAAGCAATAAATGTCGGAAATAGTATAAAATTCTAGAAAAGGTTAAGATTTGTTCGAATTGGACACCTTTGACACGAATTATAGCCTCCAAACGGCCAATGAAACCGTCATACGCTACCCGAATGTTGCTCAGCAGTATTTTGGCCCATTCCCGGCGAAGCACTTGCTTGAGGTGATCGACACGTTGGTATTTTTTAGTACCAACCTTGCTTTCCAAAATACCCCAGACACAATAGTCCAACGGATCGGTATCCGGAGATTTTGGTGGCCATTGTGCGCTGGAAATTAAGCGAGGAACCTCATTTTGTAACCATTCTTGGGTGGTGCGTGCTGAGTGCGATTGTGCAGAGTCCTGTTGGAATGTCCAAGGTCTGCGGCCAAAATGTTTGCGTGCCCAAGGCGTTAATACACCTTCCAGAATATTTTTGCAATAATATTTGGCATTTATTCTGATGCCACGGTCGATTAATACGAGCGAAGAGCGACCATGGCCGCCGGCGCTTGGGTTCTGGATGCTAACCGAAGGTGCACATTTTCAGCTGACCACTTTGGCAGGTAAACACGATCATTTTGTTTGTTTACAAACTGCTGGACAACGAATGTTTTGTCATCGGAGAATTCCAATTTCGGCACTTCACCACTTTCGGCCAAGCGAAGCAACTCTTTAGCTCTTTTGAATCAATTTTCTTTCTGTTGTGGTTTAAGTTCTTGCACTTTTTGGAATTTCAATGGTTTTACCCCGAGCTCATTTTTCAATATTTGCCGAATGGAATATTGCGATATGTTCAACTCACGAGACATTTTTCGGCCACTGCGACGCGGGTTTCGATCAAGTCGCTTCTTTACTTTTCGAACCATTTCTGCTGATGTTGCTGTTTTCTTCCGTCCACCTGCTTGACGTCGGGTTACGCTACCAGTATCACGGTAACGAGCGATGGTACGAGACACAACAGATTTATTCACATTTAAATGCTGGAGTTCTTTAACAATAGCCACTTGTGGTTTTCCAGCCAAATATAAAGAAATCACACTATCACGCTTGAATTCCATCACGAATAAGTTTTTTCTGGAAAATTCTCACTAAAGTGCATTTGTACGCTTATAAACAATATAATGAGCTGTCACTGGAATAATTTTAACAGCTGTCGGAGGAGTGGCTTAGAAATGGCAGTAGCCTAAAGTTGGTTTTTCTTACAGAAATATTCCCCGGACTTTTGCCAGAAATATTGCAGCAGATACAATCTACACACAATGCATAGATTCGAAGGAATCTAAACTGAAATTTTTGTATGAATGGTAAAATGGGCGGAACTTCAACGCATTCAAACTTTCAAAAAAACGGGTACATCTGTCTCACATTTTTAGCTCTACTCTACTCGAATTTAATACAAAATTCATTGTTCAATTTGA